CAATTAAATACAAACCATGCAAATGTTATAAGCAAATCTCAATCGTCCATCTAGTCTAACAAATATCTGGTTTCATAAATATATCTATTGTTTTCTAATATAAGGTGTTGGTTATAATTAATGAACCTTAATCATTTTCCATAAATATTCAAATCATAATAAATGAACCTTCATAATTTCTATAAATATTGGTTTATCGGTTTGTAACATTTAGAAGGTTTGCATTTGATTTGTCGTATATATAGGGACGTTTCATTTACAAACAATCTAATTCTAACAAATTATACAAATCATAATCAATGCTTATATTAGAAAACTACCAAAAGGTTACTCACACAATGCAGCGAGATACATCTCGATGTTACTATTTCGTTTTATTATTTGTCTCTATCAATGTTATAATATGGTTTTATGTGGTTTTGAGAAAATAATTATCTTTGAAAAAACTACAAATATGAGGATCTCATATAAAATTTGAAAATATTATATTGATATTAGTATCAAATTAACTATTTAAAAATTCTCTTTTTTGTGTAATTTGTTTAATTCAAATTTCTTATCATCATTTAATTTAGATTTAATAACGAGTAATTTATTTTTGATATAATAATACAATTTTTTTATAAACATATAAATAAGTATTCTGTTAGAACTCAACGGTTATCCTAATTATATTTTAGATATTTTATATTTAAATTGAGATGTTTATCATGTATTTGATTATGTCTATCTACAGTTATTTACATGAATTCAAACATAAAGCTTTAATAAGTTGTATTTACACACAGTTTACTTGTAATCTTGAATTTTAAGTAGTATGCATCAATAAAAAGTACTTGGTGCATCAAAAATGGTTAGAGTTTGTCTCAAATGATCTATAATATAACTATAAGGGTATTCATGCAATGAAGCGAGATACATCTCGATTTTAATGTTTCATTTTCTCTGTCTTAGTCGATGTTATAACACGGTTTTATGTGGTTTTGAGATAAGGATAATGTTTTTATTTTTGAATAAAATATAAATATGAAGATATCATAAAAGAATATTAATATTAGTAGCAAACTAACTATTTAAAATTTCTCATTTTTTGTGTAATTTTTTTAATTCATCTTTATATTATAATTTGATTTAGGTTTAATAATATAAGTTTTTATAAAGATAATAATTAAGTATTTGGCTAAAACTCAATGATTATCCTAATTATATTTTAGATTTTTTATATTTAAAATGAGTTGTTTATCCTCTATTTCATTATATTTATCTGTAGTTAGTTATACGAATTCAAACATAAAGCTTTAATAAGTTGTACTTACACATAATTTATTTGTAATCTTGAATTTTAAGTAATAAGAATCAATAAACAATACTTCATGTATAAAAACTGGTTTTTAAAAGTTTTTACCGAATGTTTTATAATATATATATATATATATAGACTTGAGATCATGTGAGACCAATGGTTTTTCGTGAGACCCGTAAGACCAATTCTCAACCCTTGGATTAGATCTATAATCTGACAATCTAAACATTCATAAATGCCACGAAGTTTCTTAATAATTACCAAATTGCCACCGTGCAATTTAGATCGTTAGATCATTAACTTATAAAGTTAATTAATGAACATAGATTGGTCTTACGGGTCTCACGAAAAACTTTTGGTCTCACGTGAACCCAACCCTATATATATATATATATATATATATATATATATTAATATAATAGAAATATTTATAAAAAAATAACCAATGACCATCATTCATTAATATCCCAACCCAAGCTAATTACTAATTGTATTATTATGTATGTAGTAACTCAGCAGCCCATCATTCAGATTGTTAGTTGTTAGTAGTCGTCCAATAAGCACCGGCCCAAATGCTTTGTTATACAATATACAGTTTGAGAATGCATACAAAAAAATTGAGAATTGGTCTTGTACACTACTAGTTTTATAAATAAATAAAACAGCTTTATCTTATTATCAAAACCATAACAGGAAGAAAATGAGAAATGTGGGTGTAGCGAGAATAAGGGGCCGTTTACCAAATACTTACCCGGTAAGTGCTTATCAATAAAATTTAACACTATTATTTACTTATTGGGTAAGATTTTATTCCACCAAAACGACATCACATGCAACAATTTACCCGGTAAGTGCTTACCATGGTAAGAGTCGCCCCCCTTACTTACTTGGTAAGACTCTTGGTCATTGTCTCGTTCTTCCCAAGTAAGATTTTTGGTCATTACCATATTCATCCGGTGAGGTAACGTGACTTGGTAAGCGCTTACCCGAGTAAGCATTTGGTAAACGGCCCCTATGTGCGTTGAGTACTGTAATGTATTCTCTCGACTGTTATATTTTGATGATATTAAATAGGGCAAATTGCATGAAAAAGTAACCTACTTTAACTTGATTCCTATTTTGGGTAACGTACTTTCAAAACTTCCATTTTGGTACCTAAGATATAAAGTTTTAAACATTTAAGTACCCGGGTAACCCAGTGAAGACTAATTTTAGACTAAAAAAAGACTAAATTTAGATTAAAAAAAATCCACGTCACTGAATAGGTCAACAAATAATACCGAGTTGGATAACACATCACTCGCCACATCAGTATGATAACCGGTTAATACTTCAACCAGTTACCCGGGTACTTAAATGTTTAGAACTTTACATCTTAGGTACCAAAATAGAAGTTTTGAAAGTACGTTACCCAAAATAGGAATCAAGTTAAAGTAGGTTACTTTTCATGCAATTTGCTCTATTAAATATACACTCTTTAAATAACAATTAAATTCTATATGGTTCTTGTGCCTTAAATCTGGTTAAATAGTTATGAAAGATTGGTTTTTAACTACGATTACATAATGTTTGAATAACGTTTTTTTTAATTTTAAATAAAAACGTCGTTACAAATAAAGCGGCAGAGCCAATATGCAATAAAAATTAACCTCATTGCATCACAATGATGCAATAACAGTATCCCATGATCAAAAGATCATTATTTCCAGAATTTGAGTATATCATCCTTATCACAGTATACCCAGCTCCTAGTTATACGCACTCTTATTACAAAGATATACTCAACTCTTGATTATGTTATTCTTGTTACAAAGATATACCCAACTCCTGATTATGTCACTCTTACTACCAAAATTACAATCAGTTGATAATATCGTATCAAAACCCAAAATTTTGTTGATAATAGCATATATCATATTCAAAACATCATGTCATGAAACCCTATGGTTTCTTCCCAATAAGCACATTTAAATGATGTTTTTAAAATAAAACTCACATTATAATCACAAAGAGATGAAAGTTTTAAAAGCAACAAATTTCAACTAAGAGCACAGAATCAATCTCTTCTTCCTTCTGTTTTTCTTCGAACAAGAGAATACACCAAAAACTTAACAAATTTTTTTGTTTTCTTTTCCTTTCCAAAATAGGAAATAAAAATATATGACACATAAAACTCTTTTTTTAAAGAGTGGTGGGATATTTTAAAAGAGATTTTTAAAATAACCCCTCAACTATCACTTAACAACCCCAAAATTTTAACCACAACCCAGTTATTACATGAAATAAACTATTGTTGTAATTATATTGTTATTAATAAAGAAAAAGAATTATGTTGATTTTTAATAAATCAAAAATTGAGAAAAAAAAAGATAAACGTGAATGGAAGCATCTCCTTCTACTTAGTCAATTACAAAGTTTTATACAAATAAAAAGATTAAAAAAGAAGGATGTATAGAAAATAGAGTAAACTCTAATTTTGGTCCTTGATGTTTAGTTAAAAATCTGGAAGTAGGACCTGAATTCTGATAAGTCTATAAATTATCTTATGGTTTTTATTTTACTTTGAAAATGGTCCTTAATCACTAACCCAGTTAAAAAAATGACTTAAATCAAGGGTGTTTTGGTCTTTTCTTTCATTTCCTTAATTTTTTTTTTAAATTTAAGAAAATATACTATTTTATACTACTTATGTATATTTATAATTGATAAACAATTATATTATATTGTTTATATATTGAACATTATATGACTTATGTAATATATATATATATATATATATATATATATGTGTGTGTGTGTGTGTGTGTGTTTTGGAGAGGACGGGTGAATCTAGAAGCGAGATTTTTATCAGGTGGAATTTCATGGAAAACATATGTCAACATTCCTCTCGAGAAACTTCAATAATCTTAAATAGATTAGTATCCATTTCTTCGATCATTGCTAGCAGTAAGAGTTACTTGTATAAGTCTCTCTCACAACTTAAAGACTGTGTTTGGTACATAGGACGGAACAAGACGGGACAAAACTCACTGTCCCATGTTTGGAGCAACATGGGACAGAACAAGAACTCACTGTCCCATGTTTGGAGCAACATGGGACAGAACAAGAACTCACTGTCCCATGTTTGGCACGACATGAGACAGGTGGAATAACATGAAACAAAAGAGGTTTTTTCTTGTTCCACCAAAATAGATGGAACAAGATGGGACAAGAATGTGACAGAAACCAAAATATTATTAATCTACCATAGTTTGATATATAATCTTAATATGATATTTGTTTTAATGGTCACCACCGCTAGTTTCGGCAGCCACCACCGCTAGTTTCGGCCGCCGGTAGTGGACCTCCTCTTACATACAACAACATCCTCCACTGCCTCCATAACCACCATCCACCAAGTCCATTGCCACCTCTACCATAGTTGACCACCGACCACCACCGTCCATTGCCACCACCACTATCGTCGTTCGCCACCTTCAACTCCTCTACTGCAACAACCTCCTCCATGACCTCCACGACCACCATCAGCCACCACCATTCATTGCCACCTAACCTCCTCCATGACCTCCACGACCACCATCAGNAACCTCCTCCATGACCTCCACGACCACCATCAGCCACCACCATTCATTGCCACCTAACCTCCTCCATGACCTCCACGACCACCATCAGTCACCACCATTCATTGCCACCTAACCTCCACCATAACCACCACAATCTACCATCTTCATGTCCTCTATAACCACCGTCATCCACCAAGCACCACTGCCTCTACCTCCATGATCTCCACGACCACCATCGGCCACCACCATTCATTGCCACCTAACCTCCACCATAACCACCACAATCTACCATCTTCATGTCCTCTATAACCACCGTCATCTACCAAGCACCACTGCCTCTACCTCCATGACCTCCACGACCACCATCGGCCACCACCATTCATTGCCACCTAACCTCCACCATAACCACCACAATCTACCATCTTCATGTCCTCTATAACCACTGTCATCCACCAAGCACCACTGTCTCTACCTCCATAACCACTGTTGGCCACTGACACCACCGCCCGTTGCCACTACTACCTTCGGCCACCACCACCTCCACCATAACCAAAACCACCTCCACCAACACCACTACTGCCATCAATTATATCAAAAAATTTCATTCAAATATGGTACAACTATGAAAATTATGTACAAATATTTATAAATTAAATTCTTTAATTATTCACTTTATTTGTGTTAATTATAACTATTATATAATATTTAAAATCATCAAATAACTTTTGGGGGTAGCTTGTATAGTTATGTCCCGTCCAGTCCTAGTCTTCCCAAACACCAGACATACTCCTGTTATGTCCAATTCTGTCATGTTTAGTCCTGTCTAATTATGTCTGCGTACCAAGCGCTACCAAAAAGATGGTGGTGGTATGCTTCTTTGTGTACCCCATGGCATAATTTGAGTAGCGAGACATGGAAAACTGGATGAATTTTGCACGGAAAACCAGATGAATTTTTGCAACCTACTTAGTTTGAAGAGTTGTTGCCAAAATTTGTTTGTAAGTATCTTGTCTCTATTAGAAATGATAGACTTGGAGAAACCATGCAATTTGATGACATTAACATGAAAAACTAGATCGATGGTCAATTACCACCAAAATAACATAATAATCGTTCAAAGAGGGTAACCCAATTATGAAGTCCATAGCAACATCCTCCCATATTTGAACCGAAATTGGTATTTGTTGAAACAAACCAGTCAGAAGAGAGTGGTCATGTTTCACCTGTTGGCAAGTAAGGCATTCCTTAATGAACTTGCTTATGTCCTTAGACATAGTCGACCAAAAATATTGACTTGCAATTAGAGCCTTGGACCATTTAATACCTGAGTGACCACTAATTAATGATGAATGAAACACTGAGAGAATCGTACAGATTAAGTCTACAAACATTGGTATGACTAATCGATGTTACCAAAATAACAATGTCATGTTTCACATAATAGCTTTTGTTTAATTAGGTTGTTTGAGAACATAATGTTTTGAGTTTGTTGAGAGTCGGGTCTTGTAAGACATCTTGGGTGATAAGATGCACCAAATTAGATTAAGGTGTACATATATCCATCAATAAGGAACATGGTAAGGCATAAGCCACAACATTATCCTTGCCAAGCTTATACTAAATGGAGAAATTGTAGCCTAAAAACTTATGAAGCCATGCCTATTGTTCTGGTGTTTGAATGGCTTACTCAGTAAGGGAACACAAACTTTTATGGTCCATGCAAAAACTTTTAAGGCATAACAAACTTTTATAGTCCAAGTAATAAAGTGGTACAAGTACCGGTTTATCGTCCAAAAAAGATTGTAGCAAAAGTTAAATGAGAGTCCAATTAAAGAGATGATTTCAGATGACGATTTTGAAAACTTCAGTTTGATATTAAGGTGAATTAAAACAGAATATATAAAGATAGCAAGGGTGTAAGACTTAAGATGAGACCCAAACACAAATTCCAGTAGCCAATGTTGTAGGAATGCTACAGCAAGCAGTGTTTCAAAACTTAGTTCCACCATTTATTTTGAAGGTATTCCTCTCGGACTTCATCATTGCACTATTTTATAGCTTTCAACCCATATCTCTATGTGGTATCCGGACCAGGGATAGTGACAAAATGATGTCTTCAAAATATATGGATAAACAAATCTCTTTGTTAAAAWYACTCTCTCGAGTSGATTCCCATATCATTCGAGTTGGCGTGTGTTCTAGATAGTTCATCACTAAATCTATCGCACTTTGACACTTTCGAAGTGTGAACAACCCGTCGGGAGTTAAGTTTGAAAAACATAAATGACAAGTCTCCTTGTCGGCAACTTTCTCAAGTCTACCTCTTATGTCATTCAAGTTGACGTGCATTCAATGGCTTATCTTTAAGTCCATGGCACTTTAACATTTTCAAAGTGATCAACCCGTCAAAAAGTGTGCTTGGTTTTTATAAAAACTCGAATGAAACAATGGAACGGCGTTTATGAAAACACTTAGCTACTTTATTTTGGTTTGAAAATCTCACATTTCCGTCTCACACCAAGCTATAAAAGTTTAGCTACTCATAACAAAAAGTTAATTACAAGTAAAATAAATGACGGAAAGTAAAGACATTAATGTAAATTGCGGAAAATAAATGACGAGAAAATAAACGACGAAAAAGTAAATGACGAGAAAGTAAATTGCGAAAATTAAATAACAGAAAGTAAATGACAATAAACGTAAAGGAACGTAAAATAAAGAGCGAAAATTAAAAGACGAGAAATTAAAGATGAAAAGCTAAAAATTAAGAATTTGTATTTCTTCAAAAGATTACTACAAATCACCCTTGGAGAGGGTTGATTTTAAAGCTAGATGATGTTAGATGATGATCCAAAATGAAACTCAAGCCCTTCTTTTATACCCAAAGAAGGCACTAAAAGACAAAAATACAAATATTAAGGGCTAAGTATTAAAAACAAGTTACAAAGTACAATTAGAGTAACTAAAAAGTACAATAACCTAACAAGAGCCTTAACCACAGGTTTTTAAACAAAAAGTCAGCTTCTACAGTTGTCTTCCATAAAGTACAAAAAGGCAGCGGCTTAATCAATAAGTCCTCCAAAAAGTTGCGCATATATCAAATCGCCGCTGCACCAATGATGTAGCATCCTGCTGTTTTAACAAAAACTCTCCATTAGTTTCTTTCATGAGTACCAACAAGTCAACCACAATATTTAGCTCCATAATAACAAATGTATAAATAAATTAATAAAAATGACTCAAAGTGGGAATGAAAGGAAACTATTTTAACAAATAAGACGTAAAACGAGTGCTTAATATGTTGAACTCTCAACATACACCAATGGGAATAATCTATTTGTAAAGGTGCTCTTACATACTTTGGGCAGAAATGGTTGTAGCACGTGGGCTACACGCTTGCACATTCTTGAGAAGGTTGAGTCCAGAAGTATATATCCAGAGGGAGGTCGGGAGGTTATGGTTTGCCGAGTGATCTTATGGTTGGATTTCTCTGGTTCTTCATGAAGCAGGTTCTGGACTTCAACCCTTGGAGCCTTTTCATACTTTTACATGTCAGAGTTATGGGGTCTAATAGGGGTTAGTATCAACATTAATTTTGTATAAAAATAGAAGATTAGATCAATTATAACTACACTTAAATTTACTACATTATCGTACAATGTTATATTGTTCTTACATTGTGTTATGTTGCGTCTAACATGTGTTATGTTGACATTGAGATGCACTATCATTTGCAGTAACTGATATTGAGATGCACCTATGATATGCGATAATCGGTATTAAGATGCACCTATGATGTGCAATAACTGCTATTGAGTTGTATCTAAAGTTGATGTTTTATCCTTACATCTAACACTTCAAGCTTAGGCTATAGATCCTAATCTATTTCTCTTGAACTACTGCTTTGATACCAACTTATCATTCCCTCATTTTTACCATGAGATATTTCATTTCATCTAAAACAATCCCTCTAAAATTACTCCAATATTACGCTAAATTAAAATTTTAAGATAATTTACAACGGAAGAATTTAAAACAATAAATATGCAACTTGAATGCTAACCCGTCCACTACCGGGTTGTAATCCAAATTTATTCATCATAGATCTCTGAACATAATTGAACTTAAATGGATATAGCAAGTCTCTATGTATGTCATTTTCATTTTTCCAACCTGGAACCTTTTGTCCTTGAGATGCATACTATAATCAGCTTATAAAGCTCAATGAACTCATGGTTTGCGTAAATAAACCATTTCACATCATACATGTCAACATGTAAACTTTGTACCAAGTAGTATATATTTTCTAAAAGCATGCAAAACTGAAAGAAAAGAGATCTTATAAATTGTTTGGTCGGGTATGGATCATTTTTTTCACTAGCATTTCTTGGGTTATTCTACTTGCACCTGTTTGGGCACTCATTACCGGGTCATGCCACTTGTCGTATGACTTACTGGTCAAACACACATCCATTAAACTATTAATAACACTTTCGTATGAAACAACATGCTAGAGTTATTTGAATAAAAATTGAACACATAGCATGAAACTGATCATAAATAACATATATGTATAATATATTGTATCATGTATATAAAATGAAACATCATCCATACATACACATCATCGTACAAATCATATCATGCTTAAAAATGAATTTGTAGGTAGGTATGCATCCGTTTGTACGTCTCATAAAGACTCACTTGTCCGTGTATTTCAACTATTAAAAGCTCTTGACTAAAGACCTACACATTCCATACCATAATATCCAATTAATGGCTTAATTTCTCCAAAAGTAAACAACAACCAACAATGGTCAAACTCTATCTGACCTAAAAACTCTAAAAACCGAGTCTCTTAATGTCTCAAATATCTCCATTTGATCTCATCATTAAAATATTTGTGAGTCAAACGAGGTAAAAGTCAACCCTTGGACAACTCGGTCAACCTTGACTAACTTTAGTCAAACCCCAAGTCTAAACCACGATGATGTCAGTTGGTCCTAGAAATAATGACTTACACATAATATGTTTGTAGAAGGGAGGTTAAATACGAACACAACAGATTTTCACTTTTTCATTCTATATTTTGTATTAAAACAAAGAATTGCAGATTTGTTGTGGAAGCTAGAAACGTAAAATATGTTATCCTAAACAATCCGACTGGTGAAAAATTTGCTAATACTAAAAGAATAAAGGAGAAAAAAAACTCTTAGGCCTAAAGAACTGAGATAATTCTTCAGATTTTAACACTAATTTTGTCTAAGAAACTATCACATAAAAGTTCTTCTAAAATGTGTGAGTAACATTGAGTGATAAGAATGACCTTTTATAACCATCATTGCTTTAAAATATGTGTATGAATGAAATAGAACCTTCTTGAGCCTAAATATTATAACGACCCACTTGTACCAGTATAGTGAACTCCATATCAACCATATGAGTTCCTATATGTTAGTCTAACTTGTATTACTGTAACTAAAAGTAATATTTTGAATATGGATGTTTTAAGAATCTTATATATTCTAGGTAGGCATGGCAACGGGACGGGGATGGGGCGAGTTTTGTAATCCCCGGTCCCGATTTGTAGTAACATCCTCCGACCCTGGCCCGGTTCTCGGCGGATACGGAAATTAACATCTCGTCCCCGGTCAAACCTCTATCAATCTCCGGTCAAACTCCATGAATAATATATGTTAGTTTGATTCTACTGGGGATCCCTAGCCCTGGTTTGAATAACATCCCCCGGCCCAGCCCCGTCCCCGGTTTGAGTGTACCGGGGATCCCCGGCCCCGGGACCCGTTTTAGCGGGGAATCCCCATCCCCGTTCGGGTCAAATGAACCGAGTTCCCAACCGGGTCGGGGCAAATCACCATTCCTAATTCTAAGGACTATGAAGTATGGATGTTTTAAGAATCTTATTCTAAAGTTATTTTATCAAAAAACGCGAATCATATTAAATAACACATAATGAATTTTATTAATCATAACTCGATGTTTCTAGTAATCCGATGATCGGATAGGGCAAGATACTAATAAGAGCATCCATGGGAAGGTTAAAATTTTGATTAAAACCCTACCCTACTTTTTTTTGAACAAGAAGAAAACAATTTTACTAGAGCAGAATCTAGCAAGACGTTAGCTTACAAAGCATCTGAACCGGTCCCAATCAATCCCAGATCTAGTCGGTCCCAAGTCGGCTTCGGTCATGGTCCCCCGCCGGTCCTTACCGGACCTGGCCCATTTGACCATCTCTAGGTGAAATGAGCTTTCACAATCTGAGCCCAAATTCGTTTCCTGTAATGGGCCCAAATATCCAAAAAATAAACCGATGACATTATCATCGTCGTCTAGTCATCATATCCATTCACATAATCTCTTTGCTACACACTTGAATGCAAAACCAACTCACAGGAGCTTTCTCCTCCAATGGCTTCCGTCTTCTCCCTTCCCTCACCTTCCTCTGTACTCACGCACCCTTCTTCTAATTTCAAGGTATGTTTTCCGTTTTTATCGGTAACTTGGTGTCGGCTATTAATTGTGGCTACGTATCTTGCTTACTTTATCATTGACAAACAGGGCAATGTGAGAAATCTCAGCTCAAAAATATGTCAATTTCCTTCGATACGCAATTACAAGAACAGCAGTAGCGTGCAACAACAGCGGAAATCCTTAATTGTAGCTTCTTCGTCGCCGATTCCATCAGTTGTTGTGAGTTCCAATGTCCGATTCCGGCTTGATAATTTGGGTCCCCAACCGGGTTCGAGAAAGAAAGCGAAAAGAAAGGGTAGAGGACACGCCGCTGGTCAAGGTGGGAGCTGTGGGTTTGGAATGAGAGGTCAGAAATCGAGGTCTGGTCCCGGTGTTCGCAAGGGTTTTGAGGGTGGTCAGATGCCTCTTTACCGTCGACTTCCCAAATTGAGGGGTATTGCGGGAGGTAATGCAAAAAAAAAAAAAAAAAATTTATTCCATCTTGTTCTTCTATTTAGCTTTTTAGGGTGATTTTATGAGTGAATTTTTGATCTTTTGATACTTGAAATCTGTGCACACACCACGTGTTTGTTGAAATGCTTCTCCGTTGGAATGGAATACAATTTGATTTCATGGTCTGGCTTTGGTGGAGTTTTGGACTAATCATAATAAATATTCATTCCTTGTCAGTTGGAAAAAATGGTGTTAGTATAGCCAGCAAAATTATGAGGATTAAAATTAATCTCATTGATTCTAGCTCAACAAGAAATCCCTGTTCAAATAGTTAACGTAGATGCATCAATGGCCGTGGTGTCAAAATTTGTTTCTGGGTCCTTATTGAGAAACAAGAAATCCGTGTACTAAGGGTTCACTATGTTCTTGCCAAGTTATGCTTTATGCTAACTCATGTTACTTCATTTTTCCAATTGAATCAAGGTATGCATGCTGGACTATCAAAATATGTTCCAGTGAACTTGAAAGACATAGAAACTGCAGGATTTCAAGAGGGGGAAGAGGTTTCACTAGAGTCACTGAAACAAAAGGGTCTGATCAATCCATCAGGAAGAGAAAGGAGGCTTCCTCTGAAGGTATCAAATTATATAAACAATCTTTCAAATGAAAATCAAATATTTCCATCCAATTAAGTTGCTAATAGAGAAATGTGACATGTTTTAGATTTGATAATGACACACACAATCACAAATGCGAGCATAGTATTTACATGACTCAACAATTTGCTTGCATCCATGAGCATTGCTAGGATTTTATTATATGGTTTATGGATTATGTCGTTTGGGGTTTTCACTGAATCAGTCTCTCTACCCCATGGGGTAGAGAAAAGGTACCTCTCCCAGACCCTACTCATGTGGGACTTACTGGGTTTGTTTTATGAATTCTGTTGTGGTATAGGATACATGAAAAATTACAACACCTTTATAAAAAGAAGATCCAGCTTCAAAAGGATAAGGCATTAGAACCGTCATCCTCAAACATCGTTACTGACATATCCATCAATCTAAATCAGGCTCAATATCCAAGATTAATTGGACATTGTTCTTATGTATATTTGACTAAAAGAGATGCTACAATTAACCAACATATAAGGCCATAATGCAGGCCAACAAAATTACAACCAAGAAGAGAAAGTAAAGATGAATAGCCCGAAATGCTTATTGTTCTTAGTTGATGGACTAGAAATACTTTTTAGACGATTAAGGTACTAATTCTGCTAGGATAATGAGATAATGCCAAAGAGACTCCAAAGCACCAACAAGACTAAATAATTTCTGTCATCAGTCTAATATTGTAATGTATTTTCTTAAGTTAAAAGTTACAATTCAATTCAGCCCCTTCATAAGATAATCCAGGCTAAAGTATTGATGTTGCTGTATTATCAACCAACAATTTTCAGGCTATGTTTGTCCATGATATGAGTAGGGATGAAAACATTTTTGTTCACAAGGTTTGCACCATTAGTATAATGTGCACCCTAGTTATCTCTTTTTGTTAATTTTGCACAAAAAGGAGCAATTTCTTAGCAACCTTGTGAATACCTTGTGAATCCATCAAAAAATTCATTCACCAGGATTAAGGACCGTAGAGGAGTTGGAGCCTTAACATTGTATTCAGACCTCAATATGCAACGTTTGGTTGAAATGTTCCCATATATGCTTCTCCAGTCTATTCTCACTTTGTGCATGTTGATGTACCTCTATGTGACTAACATGATTGAGATATTGAAGCTTGGTTTAACCATTGAATATTTCTATCTGCTACCTTAAATGTTTACATGAGTTGGCGACCAACTTTCCTTCTAAAATTTGAGCCACAAAATATTCTAACAATTAAATATGTCGTGATACTGTCATTGCTAAGGACTGAGGTGACATAGTCTTTTGATCAGCGTGAGTAAGGTTTCTTGCCAAAAATCGATAGAAAATATGTCAAAATGATATACATGTGATAACAGGAATGATAGCAACTATACAAGTGTGTTTATAATAGTTTTGACATTTGACATTAATGACATGAAACAGTGTTAAAAGTTGCTAGTTATATTATGTGATTGAAAATGACATGATCTCATTTGTAACATTATTTAGCTTTATTTCCCTTAAAACAAAACCTCCTTGTTTCTCAGTAAGGAGAAACTGCAATGTAAATTGGCATTTGCAATTACACAGCTCGACATTTTTGCAACTTAAATATGTAACATTGCACCTTCCCTTGGTAAAAATAATAGAAAAATTCTGCATTTATGCTTTCAAGTGTCTGCATTTATGCTTTCACCTTCACTTGGTAACATTGCACCTTCATATTTCAGTAGTATAAAGGTAGGATTGTGTTGTCTGTCTCTGAGTTTTCTGACTTTGATCCAATCATTTTTTTTTTTTCTATGAATACAAGGTTCAACATCAAATGTCAAGATAAAGCAACGAACACTTGTAAAACTAACAAAAGGATAGTAAGTATGAGACAATGGGACGGAAGGGGATAGCTAGTAGAGGTTGCCTCTGCCCAAAAGCGAAAATCCCCTTATCCCCTTGTCCAAGGGATAAGTTAAGACAATAGCACCTCTACCACTCGGTCAGTAGAAGGTAATCTAGTCAAATCTTTTTGAGCATCGTTTTCTGCATTGGTTATTCTAATCCTCCAAATGCTTAGAACGGAGCTCAATCCATAGATCCAAGTGTTTCAATGACTACCACCCAATGAATTTTGTTCCTTTTAATCCCTCTTCTGTTGTCATATATCTTTCCATCTAAGGAATGGGAAATATTTCTCCTGTTCAATGAATCAGTTGCATTTCATCCATGAAAAGAGAAAGGTCTTCCTAGTCAATGAACTGTTAGAATTCATACTTATCTGACCTGTGTGGTATAGAAAGTATCCTACAAACAACCATGGATATAGTAGGAAAATCTCTTGACCATTGTTTTATAAATTTTGCTTCTTGCAACTATTATGTTGTGTATGACGTTGAATCCTAGAAGATGGTCCAAGAAGTTGGGTAAAGAGTGTAGATTTGTGTGTTCATGCATTATTCTACCAGCTATCGTGTGCAAAAACTGAATGGAAGTCGTTTATCATGAACATTCTTGAATGGGTAAAATTGAATTGTTTGTAATCCTCCATTTGTTGTTGAATCATATTATACAAAAGCATGAGCTTAATGGGGAAAAAACAGTAAAGGGTAAAATGGTTATTTATGTCATTCAGACAGTTCATTTAGCACAACAAAAGAACAGTTATTTAGCTTAATCAATGCAGCCTTAATGGAGAAACAGCCAAACAGTCTCCAAAGTTACTCCTCTTATCACCCCTGCAATTTCTTTTGCCTCTGTATTATGCGTAGAACTTTGGAAAACGTGTTCTTGATTCTTTGAATTTCTAACAATTTAGGTCTTCCATTAATTTTAAATTTTGGAGATGGGCCTCGTTTGTTATTGGATATCATTGAGATGTATTGCTTCAGGTCGGAAGGTCAGAGATATATTGAACCAAGAAAGTTGGCTACCTGAGGGTGAAAGTGATCAAAGTCTATGAGTAGCATAATTTAGTCTATGTAGTTCTATTGATTGCTGAAAACCCCTCAAATGTGTACTTGTTTCACTATGTGGACACTCCTAGGATATGTAGGAAGTCTTAGCTAGTTAGACCCGAGACCTTTCCCGTCTAGCGAGTAAAATGACCATTCTGCCCCTAGAAGTGAACAGTTAACTTTTAGCCTGACTGCGGTATTTTGAAGCATGCCTTATCACTTGCACAAAAGTAGAATATTTTTCCAAACCAACAAATTTGATCATGTTTTTATTTCCGTTCATTCTGTGGCTAAACGTTGCAACTACATACGATGTATGCATGTAACAAAGGCAGAAGCAGGTCTGATATTCGAATTTAACTTGTATTATTTTCATTTTGTGTGTTCAATTTCACATATAATTTAGAAAATCTTGATGCTAAACAAGCCAGTTGCATTCAATGATTACTTATACCATCTGCTGGTTTTAGATTCTTGGTGACGGTGAAGTGAGTGTAAAATTGAATTTCAAGGCTCGTGCCTTTTCTGCACAAGCGAAAGAGAAGCTTGAAGCTGCTGGTTGTTCATTGACGGTTTTGCCAGGCCGAAAGAAATGGGTAAAACCGTCTGTTGCTAAGAACCTTGCTCGTGCCGATGAATATTTTGCCAAGAAACGAGCGGCTGCGGCTGCTGCTGAGTCACCAGAAACACCTTCCACTGCTTAGAACCATACAACTGAATCAATTCTTTTGTTGTTGTAAGCTTCAAAGTAGATGTAAAGCACACTAATTCATATTCTGTTTGTCTGGAATCTTTTCATCCTTTTTTATCATCAAGAATATAAAGATCCCATCTTGATTGTGCTAACTTTTTTTGCCGTGTCGATATCCCCATTTCATTATATTTTTGTAACCGTTGGTGTTTGAACCATCTTTTGCACGGCTCAACTTATCTCATATGGCCCTGAGGTTAATAGCCACGTAAACCCCTTAGTGGCCTTGAGAGTACTTTGATATGACCTTTGGAAAGCAAATTCAAGGTCTTAGCAGTTAGGTTAACCCTTAGGGTTGGATACAATTTGGAATTGCCTAACCTTTGATATTAAAACTTCACCCTTGGTTAGTCATGTTCAAAATAGATGGGCATGTCAACCCTTGGGGTGGCTCAACTGGTCTAGCCTTTGGTTTGCTTCCTGTTGGTCATTGGTTTAAGTCCTCTCTGAACCATTGAAGGTTTTCCTGGTTATTAACTTTAGGATCTTTATCAAATTAGTTGAGATGCACGTAAGCTAATTCGTGTACTCATTTTTATCAACAAAAAAAATAGATGGACAAATCTAGAGATGGTAATTTATCCCGACCCGGTGGGGAATCTGGTTCACCCGACCCGAACGGGGACGGGGATTCCCCGCTAAAACGGGTCCTGGGGCCGGGATCTCCGGTAAACTCAAACCGGGGACAGGAGATGCTACTCAAACCTGGGCGGGGGATCCCCGATAGAATCAAACTAAATAATACTATTTATGGGGTTTGACCGGGGTTTGACCAGGGATTGCTAGAGATTTGATCGGAAACGGGATGATAATCCCCGTACCCGCCGCGGACCAGGGCCGGGGACGGGGGACGTTACTACAAACCAGGCCGGGGATTACAAAACCCTCCCCGTTGCCATGCCTAGACATATCTTGGCAGTGGCAGATCTAGAATATTTTATTATTGGGGGTAAACTTAGGGAGTTGGGGACTTGGGGTGTCAAAAAAATTCTAAAACTGAATAACTCATCCGAACCAAGACGATTTTGGGTTATTCGGTTGTCGGCTTAAACTGCTCAGTTTAATCAAATAAATATAACTTTTTCCGTTTTTTGATTAAATTTTACTATTTTGGATAAACAAAAACATTGTACATATATTTTTATTTCGGTTCAACTTAAAACAAATAAAACACAATACATATTAACAGTCAATAGCAAGAAATCAGAGGACAAGAAATTAAATTAACTTAGAAGAAATTAGAGAGCAAAAGACCAATATGCTATAAATAAAAGATAAACTAGTAGTAACTAGTAAACCCTATATCAAAATAACAAACTCAAATTAAAGAACAAACTCAAGAATCCTAAATCAAATATCAAGAAATATAAAATTAATAATCAACAAATAACAATAATTATAAATCTATAAAAAAATGCAAAAAGAAAGTTGGAAAGAAAAAAAAAATTAGTGATGGATCAAATTATTAGAATTATAGCAAATAAAACAATACAAATAAAATGACTTTCAATGAGTTAAGACTTAGAAATTAGAAACATTAGAGTTTAACTGATTTTTAAAATTGATAACTTCTTGAAATGAAATAAAATAAAAGTTGTAAATGAAATGATAGGGATTAGATTTGGGGATTTGTATTTTAATTATTGGGGGCCTATTTGTAATTTTAGGTTAAAAATATATTTAAAACTATAAATAATCTTGTTTCTTGTGGGTTTCTTATTGGTTTGTTGGGGGCCTGTGCCCCCCTATGCCTTTACCATGTATCCGCCAATGTATCTTGGAGTCTAATAATTCGACGAAGAATAGTGCAACATGGATGCCCAAATAGGCCAACTAAGAAATCCTCGGGACCCAAAAGAACAAAACCGACCTAAATGCACTCTCAAATCAAGAAGCACAATTTTTTTAATAGTTTTTGAACGCATGAACTGTCAGTTTCATCGCTTCCATCATGTTGAAACCCGAGCCTCTGACCTTTGGTTCTTGATTCCCATTTACACTTTATCGACGACTTACCGTATGTCGAACAAATCACATAATGTGCATCTTTATCTAGTTAAACTTTAATAGGACCAAAATGGAGAAATATTTTAGTTTCTAGTTAAAAAGTGTAATATTGTTAGAAAGCACATGGTTTATTTAATTGAAAGGAATAGTTTCATGGTGGTTTTTAATTCGAGTACTTTGCCGGTGGGTCACTGCAAAGTGGTCGAGTGTCGGTAAAGTACCATGACACGATAATTATTAACCTTCCAAACCAAACCAAATCAAATCAAGATTTCTGTACAATTATTAATAATAATTTAATTTATTTTTGAGTTTATTAAAAAGATTGGTTGTTAATTCATGAGTTGGCTTTTTAAAAGCTATATGTGACAATGTTCCAATTAGCTTCATTCGATTTTATTAATAAGCTTATCAATTAACAGTTAAGTTATCGGCTCGTTTATTAAACATAACCTTAAGGTGGTGTTTGGTTCGCAGATTCTGAAGGAATCCGATGGAATTAGAATGTTGAATTTTATTGACCAAATTTCACTCCCTCGTTTGGTTCATTCTTTTTCACGAAAGGAATCTTCAAAATCCTACAAATTCCACAAATAAAGAAATTTAGCATTCCTTAGCAACTACATGGTATTTTGATGGAAGGAATTTTTATCTTCATTATACCAAATATGTCTTTAACCTAATATACTCTAATCTCATAAAACTCAATATGACCATCGTCGACCACCTCTCGACAACTATCAATCTGGACCACCACCACCGAATACCACCGATCTGAACCACAGCCGACTACCACCACCAACGACCATCGATTTGAACCACCGTTGATCACCACCACCGACTACCACCAGTCTGAACCACCATTGCTTCCAACGCCTATCTGAACCACCGCTGATCACCTCCATCTGAACCACTTTGGACCACCATCGATCTGAATCACTGAGGACCACCAGCATTTGAACCACTGTGGACCACCATTAATCTGAACCACCGCCGACCATCGTCGATTTAGTAACTTCGTTTGGCTTATGATTATATTTGGGTTGAGTATTTTATATTGTTTTACATATTAAATAATTATTTTATTAAAGTATTTTTGGTTTTAAAAAAATTAAAATTTTTAAAACATGGTATTTTGGTCATTTACCAATATTTTATTCCAATTCTAAAGCTACATTCTGTGAACCAAACAGACAGATTCATTTCCAATGTCTGCCAACCAAACAGTTGGTCAAATCTGACAACATTCTACTTTAATTCCTTCAAAGCCAAAAAAATTTAACAAATTTCATTCCATTCAAAAACATTCTACAAACCAAACGCCACCTAAGGGGTTGTTTGTTCACTTTTTAATAGTTTCATTAAGAGGCAACCTCTAAATCGTTAAGAGGTGAATCTTGTTTGACAAAAAAAATATGTTTCTTAATGGTTCTAAAACCCTTTGAATGATTTTGTATCATGGGCATCCCTTAACCATTCAGTGCTTTAATTTCATTGTAAATAATTACCAAACAATTATAATTTATTTTGTATTATATTATGAGAGTCTCCTAATCATTCTGACCATTTAATCATTCTACACCAAGTCATTCAACAACTGCCAAATAGCCCCTAAATAACGATAATTCATGTTTAGTTTCTGTATGCTTAAATGAGTTTTTTTTCTAATCTTGAAATAATAAATTTGTGTTTGATACAAATTAAAATAATAATAACTACATTATATTATTATGAATTATTTAAAAGAAATTATTCTAATTTTTAATTATATATATTTTTACTAAGGTAGTGTTAAATTGTCATAAAGTGATTATTCAATGTTGTGAGGGGACCTTAATAATTGTGTGTTGCAATTTAATGAATGTTACTTGCATTTCAAATTACCTAATTACATGGGCTCACTTTCTATAATAATTTTTATTTATATATTTAATAAAAAAAAATAGTGATTATGTACTTAAAGTGCATAAGAAGTTAATATTAGTTACACATTTACAATAAAAATTGGCCTTTTATTACAAACTTTGAGATAAAGTATTTAAAAGAACTTTAAGTTTATATGATGAATAACTATATATATATATATATATATATATATATATATATATATATATATATAGGGG